CGAAACGCCGTGGACTCCTGAGAGGAAACGCGTGATGCGGGGACACAGAACTGACCAACCGAACACGTGACAGGAAACAGAAAATCATCAGAGGAATGCGGCCGTCTCACCCTGGACACACTCACACTTTAACTTCAACACCGGGTCTAAACGAATTCACGTCAACTCGTCTGTGGAATTTTTATAATGAAGACTAATTTATTAAAATGTTAAGTAATTATGACTTTAGTCACATCCTGACTAAAGTTGGGCCAGAACAAGCTGTATGACGAGTGTTTGGCAATGTGTGTTTGCATTCTTGGTTGAAACTCGTTGACGGGTGTAACAAATGGTGCAAATTAATGGAATTTGTTGCTCAATTTAATGGAGGCAACGCGGCAGGTGCCATCGCCATCCCAGAATATTTATTCCACTGTCTGGTTTGGTTGCCATGGATATTACCACTGATTGTTTTGCACTCATTTCGGGTCTGTGTAATCGGTTAGATTCAGATTCGGTCAGATTCAGTCTCCTGGTAGTTCTGTATTTATTCAACACCAGTGTTTCCCATCAGCAGAACTTGTTGTGCTGACCCCTCCCTCAACCCCCTCCAATGTGAATGTGTATAGTGAATGTGTATAGTGAATGTGTATAGTGAATGTGTATATTGCTCTGAAACGTGACTCATAGTGTCAGAGATAACCTGTAGCCTAACATTATGGTAATGTTTTTGAAGCCTGTGGGTGTAGCTTGAGTTCTAGTCCTTGTCTCTTATGGTTTTGTTTTAATCGATTGCAGACTTTTTTTCCCCCTTTTTTTGAAAAACAAGAAATGATAATAATAATAATTTGTCACTCGCAGATGAAGGCATCACCGTCTTAATATTTCGGTGGACTCCGTGTTCTTTGACGCTACAATTAAAACCCTCCCCCAATATTTTGTTATGAAAGACTTGCTTGAGACTATATAATTAGAGGGGTTGCTGTGAAAACGATAAAGCTTGAGGAAAATGCTATTTTCTCCCTGCAGGCTTTTTAATAAAACAGTGCAGGTCAGACAGCCTTGGCACACTCATCACCATTTTACACATGGCAACTTTTTCTTCAAACACTTTTAAAGGTGCAGTGTGTAGGATTGAGTGGCATCTAGCAGAACAGACTTGGCAGTATAAGTATGTTTTAATTAGCGTATAATCCCATGAAAATAAGAATCCTGTTTTCATTACCTTACAATGAGCCCTTTATATCTACATAGGGGCCCGCCATGTTGCACAGCCATGATTCTACAGTAGCCCAGAACGGACAAACGGCTTTTTATCGCTATCTTAATTGTACGCTATGACCTATTGTTTTACAGACTAAATAACTAAATACAATTTATAAATCTATCAAGCAACCTCATCACTTGACACTTGGCTATACGATGCTGCCGTAGACGATGCCACTGTAGCTTCAGTACCTACTGGCACCTTACAGGCCACCGTAGCTTCAGTACCTACTGGCACCTTACAGGCCACCGTAGCTTCAGTACCTACTGGTACCTTACAGGCCACCGTAGCTTCAGTACCTACTGACACCTTACAGGCCACCGTAGCTTCAGTACCTACTGGTACCTTACAGGCCACCGTAGCTTCAGTACCTACTGGCACCTTACAGGCCACCGTAGCTTCAGTACCTACTGGTACCTTACAGGCCACTGTAGCTTCAGTACCTACTGGCACCTTACAGGCCACCGTAGCTTCAGTACCTACTGGCACCTTACAGGCCACCGTAGCTTCAGTACCTACTGGCACCTTACAGGCCACCGTAGCTTCAGTACCTACTGGCACCTTACAGGCCACCGTAGCTTCAGTACCTACTGGTACCTTACAGGCCACCGTAGCTTCAGTACCTACTGGTACCTTACAGGCCACCGTAGCTTCAGTACCTACTGGTACCTTACAGGCCACCGTAGCTTCAGCACCTACTGGCACCTTACTGGCCACCGTAGCTTCAGTACCTACTGGTACCTTACAGGCCACCGTAGCTTCAGTACCTACTGGCACCTTACAGGCCACCGTAGCTTCAGTACCTACTGACACCTTACAGGCCACCGTAGCTTCAGTACCTACTGGCACCTTACAGGCCACCGTAGCTTCAGTACCTACTGACACCTTACAGGCCACCGTAGCTTCAGTACCTACTGGCACCTTACTGGCCACCGTAGCTTCAGTACCTACTGGCACCTTACAGGCCACCGTAGCTTCAGTACCTACTGGTACCTTACAGACCAATACAGGCCACCGTAGCTTCTCCTACGTCGTTGGAAAGGGAGAGGTGTGGGGGGGTATTCAGTTGGTTGCAACCTCACCGCTAGATGCCACTAAATCCTACACACTGAACCTTTTAAAAAAGCAATAAACATCGACTTTTCGAACCACAAAGAAGTGAAAGCGACCGATGACAGAAATCATTACCATTCTACATAAAAACCCAACTGCGGTCATCTCAGGATCTCCAGTGAGCAGAGCTTGCCTGGGGCTGGACATAGCCACCTCTCATCTTGAAGAAGTCGCCCTCGCAGTGTCCTGATTGGCTGTCATCTTTTTGAACGCTCCTCGTCTGCCAATCTAACATGACAACCATGTGGTTTCACGAGGCACTGCTTGAGTGACGGGCGGTGATTCAAAAGGACGTCCATAAGTGTCAGACTTCTCAGTGCTAAACGCTCCTGACGAGACCCAGTAACCACTTGGAGCCAGGGGACAGGCCTTGTCCACACACGTGTCCAGAACTATTTATACAGTCACATGGTCCAGAGACCCTTGGGGTCCGGTTAACTCTGGTTTCTCTCGGTGTCGTGGTGCCACCTCCGCGCGGCCACATCCGCCGGTCTCAGCCGAGTCCTCAGTCCAGCGCTTCCACCTGATTGGGCAGCAGCAACGGCAGCTCGATCCCGGCGTGCTCGGCGTCCAGCAGGTTCACCGCGTCCGTGGCCGTGGCGGGCGGGTGGGCCGGGTCGGAGGCCACGTCCGGGGAGGGGGACGACGGCAGCGGGGAGTCGCTGGCGATGTTGGGCTCGCCCGAGTTGCGCAGGGAGAGCGAGAGCGCGGGCGAGGGCCTCCGGGGCGATCGAGAGAAGCAGCAGGGCAGCAGCTTGCCCAGCGCCCGCTTGAAGTCCCTCATGAACAGCGGGTAGATGATGGGGTTCATGGTGCTGTTGCAGTAGCCCAGCCACGTGATGGCGTCGAACAGCGCCGGCGGGATGCAGTCACACACTGCCTGAGGGAAGAGGAAGGGGATGAGGACAGGGGTCAAAGGTCAACGATGGGAGTCTGGGGATGATGTGTTAACAACGTTTTATCTCATTAATTCTGTGTGTTTCTCAACCTCGGGGTCAGGACCCCACTTTGGGTCACCTCATGTGCATATGGGGTCACGTTTTTATTTGAAAGTCTCATAAAGGTTATGTATACATGGACAGACTGCATATTGATTCGTGATTTAGAGATAACTTGTGTGTGGCGCCATACGTTCACTACACACTGGGACATTTATATTATGTTATGTTTATATTATGGACAGATTGGATTAGGAAGGTTGTGGGAGCCGCTGTACACATGTTTAAGAAGTTATTCAGACATAAAAAGGGGGTCAAAAAAGGTGGGGGTCCACTGATGTAGGGGGTCCTAGGAATCAAGTTGATTGAACAAATCTCGGTGGGACCTCGTCCTTTACTTTGATATTCTGCGCTTAGTATTTTCGCACTTATCTCCTTTGTATTCTACTAATCGGTTAACTTAGCAATTGGTATGCTTGAAACTCATTCTTGTGAAATCCTTACTCTACTGATAGAGGTTTACTGTTGCACTTTCTTCTAACAAATGTACTTATTGTAAGTTTGCTGTGGACAAAAGTGTCTGCTAAATGCCCTAAATGTAAATGTAAATGTAACATCATTCAGTTAATAAGGCTGGCATATAATTATTCAACTATGGCATAGAGTACTATGATATACTGTATATATCCATACCTATCTTAGGAATGACATGCATATCAGAACAAAGGCTAAGCTCAACGTTTAAGCATAGAAGTTAACTTAGTTAACTTGCCTAATTAGGAACTAGGAAATAAGATTCCTTCCTACCACGAGTCATTTGACTCGACTCGTAAACTTTGTGCCTTAGTTGTCATAGTTACCGTTACAGTGGCAGCACAGCCGCCACGGTTGTATGTTCAGATAATTCGCTCGTAAGATAATTCAGTGAGAGAGAAAATGGCTCTTTCTGTCCTTCTCCTAGTTACGTCTCTCTGTCTGACGCACAGGATTTATGTTTTTGTCTTCAATCTAAAACAAGATTCAAGATTCAAGATTTTATTACCACGCCGCCACGTAGTGGTTGGGGATTTCCCCCGGTGTGCTCAGGACACAACAAACGCAAAACAAGACAAACAAACAAAAAAGAAGACTTGAGATAGAGAGGGACAGCACAGGTGGAGGAGGAGGAGGAGGAGGAGGAGGAGGAGGAGGAGGAGGAGGAGGAGGAGGAGGAGGAGGAGGAGGAGGAGGAGGAGGAGGAGGAGACAGCTGTTAAAGTAGAGGTTTCAATGCCATCAAGAGGAGGAGAGGAGCGGAGAGGGAGGAGGTGGGGGTGGGATTGTATTCACACACCACATTGAGTGTGAAACAGAAAGCAGAGTCTTGAGACTCTGCGTTCTCCATGTTTGTGTTTGTGTGTGTGTGTGTGTGTGTGGGGGTCCGCAGATGGAAAATGGAAATGACTGCATTACTGGGAGCTAGAGCGGCAGAACAAGTGGAATTACCAATTTAGATTAGCCCCATTTCCAAGAAATTGATTGACTTTTGGAGTAGGCTTTTCTCCCCCTCCTTCCACGATCGTAGCTAATAGAGGGACGTTGTGTATATATATATATATATATATATATATATATATATATATATATATATATATATATATATATATATATATGAGGCTTTTATCCAAAGTCTCTTACAATACCATGAGTGCATACATTTTTGCATGGGTGTTCCCAGTGGGAATCGAACCCCTAACCCTGGCAACGTAAATGCCACGCTTTGTTGAGCTAGTCAGGACCACGTGTGAGTGTGTGTGTGTGTGTGTGTGTGTGTGTGCGTGTTTTATATATATAAATTGATCAAGTTGTTCGATCGTCTTGCTTGGTCTAATCAAATCAAAATCGGAATGAGTTTGAGAGTTTGAGGAATGAGTATAAATGGAGAGCTAACGTTAAACTGAGCGGTTGCATAAATGGAGACGCACACACACACACACACACCTCATCTGTTCCTTGTGTTAATTTCATTCCACTTCGGCACAACAACACAAACAGGCATCACGTGTTAATTCATGTCCTACAACTTATTACTATTCCATCCTAAATTAATACACGCTATACAGATTCAGTCAGCTACATAGTGAACTATTTATTTTATACCAACTAAAAGCTAAAGTAAAAACATAAGTTATAAAGTGACTGCTTCCTACAAAGGGTGATGCACCCATTTATACATCCATTTATACAACCGCTCAGTTTAACGTTAGCTCTCCATTTATACAACCGCTCAGTTCAACGTTAGCTCTCCATTTATACAACCGCTCAGTTCAACGTTAGCTCTCCATTTATACAACTCATTCCGATTTTGATTTGTATAAATGGAGAGCTAAAGTTGAACTGAGCAATTGCATACATGGAGAGCTAACGTTGAACTGAGCGGTTTGTATAAATGGAGAGCTAACGTTAAACTGAGCGGTTGTATAAATGTGTAACGTGTTGTTTTTCCTGTGAGTAGCTGGATGAGTCACACAGAGTCTGAATCTCAGTCTGTTTCCCTGCAGCCGGAGAGCCTGGCAGAGCGGTGACGCGTTAGGCCTGGCCAAGGCAGAAATAGGTTGGTATCCAAGTATTGTATACTAACCACACACACACACAGAGTCCTCATCCGTTTCTTGTGTTAATTTCCTTCCACTTCGGCACAACAACACAAACAGGCATCACGTGTTAATTCATGTCCTACAACGTATTACTATTCCATCCTAAATGAATACACGCTATACAGATTCAGTCAGCTACAGTGAACTATTAATTTTATACCAACTAAAAGCTAAAGTAAAAACATAAGTTATAAAGTGACTGCTTCCTACAAAGGGTGATGCACATTCCTTCCTAAATGAAACAATCGGCACACAATCTTTTACCTTTAATTAATGTAATTGTTATTCTATTGGATTGTAATGTTCTACCCCCCAAATCAATGCATGCAACTAAACCACTTCCACTTCCACTATAATGAAACCATCTATCACGCACAAACTATGTCCCAGAGCCGAGTGTCTCACACACTGACCTCCGCCATGTTGGTGATGAAGAAGGGCAGCCAGGCGCCGAAGAACAGCCCCAGGAGGACCCCCAACGTCAGGCTGGCTTTCAGGGCTCGCCGCCCCTGCCTGTGGGCCCGCCGCCGCTCGCTGTTCACAGACAGCTGCGGTACAACGGGCAAGAGGGAAGGTTAGGGCTGATGATCAGGATATATTACAGGGTGGCGCACGACTAGGGCTGCAACTAACGATTATCGTCATAGTCGATTCATCTAACGATCATTTAGTCTAGAAGATGTCTTAAATAATACAAATGTCGTCACAAGTTACCAGAGTCCAAAGTGATGTGATAAATGTGCTTGTTGTATCTGACAAGCAGCCAATAAAACTAAAGTATTCATGTTATAATGATCCGTGAACCAAACATTTTAATTTCTGAAGCATCAAGCAGCAGATGTTTGGTATTTGCACTTGGTAAATGACTACCGAGTCAATACACAGCAGACGCAGTTTAACATGTACTTTGGTAGTCCTCTATAATTCACATTCTTCTCAAGTAAAAGTATGTTTGATTCAGTTTGAATGACCAAAGTGAAAAACTGCTTAATCAACACCATCACCTTGTGTTTTGGTGAGTGGACACATTTGTTCACGTCTGAAGGTAATCTAGTCTCACACCACAGTTCAAGGACCTTGACAGGACCAGCCTGAGCACCTTTCATTCTGCCTTTGGGTCTCATTCCTCTTTTCTCCCGCCTTGCTCAATTTTTGAGCAAAAAGGCTCTCGCCTCTCAGGCGACTTTCTCCTAAACTCGCACTACCCCCTGTGGCTTCTCCTATGAGGAGTGTGAATGCGAGTGTGAATGCGAGAAAGGATATCATTTTCAAGTTACAATTTGATGGGGCTTGTACCAAACCACTATAGTTTTAATGAAGGGTTCATGATTTACCTTTTAATTATTTTCTCTAATTTGTTTCTTATCTCAACCCTCAACCCTTAATTAACCGTCACACTCCAGTTTGTCTAATTTATTCAAAAGCCTGCGTGTGCACAAGTGTGTACATGAATTCTGTGCTTTTAATTGAAAAGAACTACTCCCCCCCCCACACCCCCCCACACCCATTATGTCCGGCAGATTCCCTTTGTTGATGATTACTCAAGAAAAGACGTGAGATAGATCAAGTGTCTGCGACTCGCTCCGTCTCCGCATGAAACCATCAAATCATTATTTCCCTTTCCTGAATTTCAATGAGAACCTCCTAAAGAGGATTTGAATTTAGTTTTGTGATAATGTGTCGTTGCGACAGCGATCCGTCAAAGGCTGTTGAGGTGGGGTTGCTAAGGTGCTAAAACATAAAAGCATGAGGCAATAAAACCTTGCAGCGACCCCAGGTTTCGATTCCAACCTGCGGCTCTGTGCAGCCAACCCACAATCCTGTCTTCCCTCTCCTGTCCCTCAAGGCACAAAAGCCCATAGAGATATCTATAAATATGAATATGAATGCTTCTTCTCATTCATTCAGGGTAGACTAATCAGGCTTAGCCTATTTTTATTGCGCCGTTATCCCCGTCCTCCGCTAAGAGTTCTCTTCTCCTTGGCGATCCACTGCTCTGATCCGACACACTGCGGTTGTGATGTCACTCTTAGCGGTTGTGATGTCACTCTTAGCGGTTGTGATGTCACTCTTACCGGCACGCTGCAGGACACGGTGGGCTCCTGGTGGCTGTAGTCGTCCCCTTCCTGCTGCTGAGCCACGGGGCCCTGGGGTCGGGGGGCCCCGGGGCCCGGGGACGCGGGTCGCGACGGGACCCCCTGGTACTGGTGGGGCAGGGGGGGGTGGCTGAGGGCCGCCACCCGGCGGGCCTGCCGCCGCGCGGCCAGCAAGATGCGGCAGTACGTGAAGCAGATGGCGCCGGACGGCAGGAAGAAGGTGACCACGGACGCCACCAGCGCGAAGGGCAGCGTCACCTGCAGCCGGCACTGGAAGGACTGGCCACCGGAGGGCTGGAAGTAGGAGGGCGGGTACTGCGTGTGGGAGGCGTACGACGAGCTGATGTTCCCGCCATCGCCTCCGCTGCCGGAGTTGAGCATCCCGTGCGTTAGAGAGCGCTGTCCGCCTCCGCCACCGTGGCCCAGGCTGTGCCACTTCATCTCTATGGGCAGGAAGGAGGCGAGCGCGGCCAGGCCCCACGCGGCGCCCACCAGCAGCAGCGCCCGTGGCGGTGTCATGCGCTGCTTGTAGCGCAGCGGCGAGATGATGAGCAGGTAGCGGTCCAGGCTGATGACACACAGGTTGAGGATGGACGCGCTGCAGCACATCACGTCGAAGCAGAGCCACACGGGGCAGAAGGCAGGCCACAGCACCCAGGCGCCGCACAGGACGTTGAGCATGGCAGGCGGCATCACCACCAGCGCCACCATCAGGTCAGACAGGAACAGCGACACCAGGAAGCAGTTGGAGGTGCAGCGGAGCGAGCGGTGCGCGAGCACCAGCCCGATGAGCAGCACGTTGCCGCACGCCGTCATGATGATGATGGCGGTCAGCATGAAGGCCAGCAGCCAGGGTCCGCTGGCTGTGATGCCCCAGGCACCGCCGCCGCCAGGGGGCGAGAAGCTGCCATTCTGGCTTTCTGACGGGCTGATGGTGTCCATGTCTGGCCTGAGAGAGAGAGAGAGAGAGAGAGAGAGAGAGAGAGAGAGAGAGAGAGAGAGAGAGAGAGAGGGAGGGAGGGAGGGAGAGAGAGCTCTCTCCCAGGGTGACTGTACTAAACAGAGGCCAGGGGGTTCTTGTTGTAGCAAGAAGTCCTAAATCCTTCCTCCTTCTCGCCAGGGTTAACAGATCTGCTCTCCATGACTGACTCACCCTCGCAGTCGTCTCGCTCTCTCTCCCGGGGGTGAGAAACCCTTCAGGAGCGCTGCGGTCGCCTCCTCCTCCTCCTTCTCCTCTCCCCCCAGGCGTTAGGAACTATCACCCACACGGCGCACTCCGACTCCCCATGCTGCCAGCCGGGTCCTCTCCTCCTCTCTGGTGGAGAGACACTGAGCCATTCAGCCTCTCACGGCGGGCTTTCAGAGCGGCGTGTCACAGCTATGACAGCCACCGAGGGGGAGGGCAGAGCGAAGAGGTGGGCTGCGCCAATTTAAGCATGACTGAGCGGTGATAAAGCAAGGGGAGGGGGGGGGGGATGAAAGGTCAGAGAAAAATGAGAAACATAGACGATAAGAGATGAAAGGAGTAGACAAAGAAAAACGAAGACATACGGACATTGAATGTGAAAGAGGGAGGGAGGGAAAAACGTCCCAAAATGTGCACAGAACCACAAGTCCTCCAAACCTGCCGTCTCATAAGATCTTTATTTCTGCAGCTTCTGAAGGTCCTCCAGATTTGTTTTTTGGAGTGGCTAAAAAGTGCTTTTCGCACCTCCTGAAAAGCCCACTGACGTCTACGTCTCCAACCGTGACGAGCAGAGCGAGAAGAGGAGATACAAAAAAAAAAATCATGTTGATGATTGATGGGGGGTGGGGGTGTCCCGACGTTACCGTGTTGAGAGCAACGGTGACTCGTGAACCCGCAGTCGCCTTAATCCCCGTGGCGGCCACTCCAGCGCGCGCGCTCTCCTCAGATGTGCGAGTGTTTCGAGGCGTCAAGCTGTTAATGCATGCCCATGCACAATCATGTCCAAGTCATGCTAATTGCTCGTCACAGAACCTGGCGTGGGCGACGCTTTCCTTTCCTCTGTGACCAGGA